ATTCAAATTTCTTATTACTAATGAACTTAATTCATAATCGATTCCAACAACATTTTTATTATTTTAATTGTCTATAATATAGACTCTATATTATAAAGAATTGAATTGAAGTAAATATTTTAAGTTTAGGAGAAACAAATGTTTATTTAAAATGTAATTGAAAATAAGATTTTTGGTGTTATATTCCTGTATTTACTGAATAATATGTTTAAAAGTAGAGTGAATTCAAATAATGACTCCATGAAAAAGCAAACATATTTAATGCTCGATCTCTTGTATAAATATATTGAAATAAAAATGTTTAACAAAATAAAAATATTATATGAGATATAAAAGAATAAGTTATTAAAAAATTTTTATGACTGCACTCTATATTCAGAATGAAGTTTAAAGATGTTATTAACTCAATATTGTATATAAAGTAATGACAGCAATAGAGACTCAAAGCGTATACCAATGGTCTCAAGAATATTATTTGTATTTATATTTATATTCATTGCCGAAGAGTTATGTGTATTATATGTTTGCGATGGAAAGGCATCCCTAAGAAAACAGTGGATCCGATCGATAGTAATAAAGACATAAACGACGATAAATGATAGGGAATTACATAAAGCATTAACTTTATTAATAATCTTTAACTAAATTACTTAATCGTCTATTTGTTTGATTGAAAATATTGCTGAGAAAGTGAGTCAAGCATTTTGGATGTAAAATATTAATTAATTATCTTTTATTAAAAGAGTAATAAATAAATGAATAAAATTAGTCTAACGTATTGTCATAATAAGATGCCTAGTGGAGCAAGGGGACTGGTAGAGCACTGGTAGCATCCATTAAATTATTTGAAAAGTTAATATAAAATGGAAAGCTATTAAACCAAATTGAAATAAACTAAACAATATTTTATAATATTATTTTCGCAAAACTGAATACTATATTATACTATATTATATGCAGTATTCATAGAGTAGTATAAATCTCTGGAGGACTGGAGGAACTGGAGGAACGGCAGAGTTTTCGTTATGGATTTATACAGTCATACAGTTGGAGCACATTCTCCGTACAGTTTAGTTATTATTGATTTCAATTTGTCGTTGCATTGCATGCATTGAGACTTTGTTTTAGCTCTTTTCATATTCTAATGTGTAATATAGGATCTCTTTCTTATATTATATTATATCATATTATACTGTTTTGTCAATAGTGTACAGCCTTTTGAGAGCACAATATGATGGATTGATGATAGAGCCCACTCAATGTAGACAATGCTAAACATGCCAGTGCCTGTGCTACCAGAGCTCCCATTCGGTGCCAATTCATTGCTTATATCGTTTATATTGAATTGAATGCTAACTCCGGCAGAGTATGCATTGCTATGCACTGCACATCTTGGATATGACGCCTATATCGCTATAATTGCATGTGAGTTGTGACTCTCAGTGCTATCAACGCTCTAAACGCACACTTCCAACACTTCCAACATCACTGCCATCATTGCCATCACTACCATCACAGCTATCACTTTCATCACAAGCCAAACATCTATTCAAGCATTCACTTCAAATCCTTATTATATCAAATCGGAATCAATAAAACAATTTTGACATCACTTTGACACAACAAATGAGCCAAAAAACTAAGCCAACAAACGCACTCTTATTAGCAATAATTCACTTCTCAATTATTTGACTCTTCATTCATTCTGCAGTTACTTATTAATAGTTTCCAATCATATTAAATATTGTAATACATTGCATTTTAATATATTATTATAATGCATTGAATTCATTTTTAATTACAACTTTAACAGTAGTAAATCTATAAAATGTAATTGAATCGGGTTTTAAAGATCATTTCATTGACAACATAATCGCTTAAATGTAAATGAGAGGCCTTTGCTTTGATTGCAATTCTCAAGGGTAAGAGTGGGAGGAAAGGGAGTTTAGGCTCAATCATTATATGAACCACTTTTATATTGTGGTCAGAAAGAGATGACCAAATATAAGGTCATTGATAGCAATAGAGCCGTTCATAAAACATACACTCAATATTCAGGGGTAACCAATCCTAAAAACCAATGGTTTACATTGCTTTTACTGTAGTATATGGCAGAACATGAGAACATGGTCAGTTCAAACATTCATTAGTTGCCTTATACGGGGCTACTGTTGTTAAGTTTTAACATAAATCCTAGTCTACCTGCAATGTGTGTGTCAACGACACTAAATGCCCAATATAATGAAATGTAAATTTGATGGCCATTCACATGGAAATGCATAATAGGTATAGTTGGTTTTTAGGGGCTAAAAATCAACTTATATAAATATATTTTACTATATTTTTGCTATAAAAACAAAACATCGACAATAAGAAGCTTACAATAAGTTAGAATAATAGTAATACTAAAATCTTTTGATTTATTCTGTGATAAACAATATGTATAAAAACGTTATACAATTAAATGAAAGCTCAATTTTAATGATAGATAAATACAATCATGAATTATGACTAATAAATATAATATATCATAAAATATGTTTTGACTTTATTTCAATTACTTAGCATTTAATCAAAATAATATTTAATAAATAATGATTACATGCAAAGAAAGTGGACTACAAATCCTCGTAAACCAATAAATCCTCGCTTATCTTTAAAATAATATTTTTGGAGTTCAAACTGAATTAAAGAGATTTTTTTGCTACAAATTCCAAGAGAAAAATTAGAGAAGAGATAAGTTTAGCAATAAATCGTCTATTTATGCCATAAATCAAAGTCATTGGCGTTTGCGTTAAGCGCCAAACAATTCATGCATTTTAAGGTGAAATTGATTTTGAATAAAGTTTTAAACAGAGTGTAAAAGCATTTAAACTTATTTTATAGTATGATATAGTCGTCAAAGTCGTATCGATTTACGTTTTCAATAGGGTTTTTGGTCAACAAAACCATTTTTTATATAAAATATATATAAATTGAGTTTATATTTCTTATTAGTATTAAAAGCAAACTATTAGTTATTGACAACAAATGGCATTCATTCACTAGAATAAGTGTTTTTCTCGAAAAAAATTATTTTTGATTTGACAGCGAAAGGCATTAAATTCTTAAAATATAAGAGTTTCTAGTTTATGATACTTTAAATAATACATAATATTTATTATATACATAAAAGTATTAAACCAATCAAAAGATATGTTTAATTTTTCATTTGACAGCGAAAGGCATTAAATTCTTAAAATATAAGAGTTTCTAGTTTATGATACTTTAAATAATACATAATATTTATTATATACATAAAAGTATAAAACCAATCAAAAGATATGTTTGCCTAAGGATTGGTTGCGATCTGTAGGCACTAAATATTAGCCATATTAAGCAATAAGTGCTAGAGATTCGCATATTAAGTATTTTACTTTATATAACATCCTAATCAAGTCTATTAGTTTGTTTTCATTTCAGTTGATTTGACTCGTGTCGAAGTGATAAACTGTGAAGTTATAAGTCTCATAATTTGATTTTCCACTTATTTATTATAAACACTTTATTATGAATGAATGGATCACTTTTGTTATCTAATGAATAAAAATAATTTATTTAACAGAATTAATTATTATAAGATAAAATCATAGCTTTTATTATATTAACGGATCCATACGCACAAAGTGTTGTGACATTTGGTTAAATGAGTCATAACTGGGAACTGGAGCTCAAGTCTTCAGTGAAGAGACGGTTCTGAATTGCTTTCAAATAATGAAAGGATAACCGTTTGATTGTAATATTTAAGTGCTTTCATTGCAATAATTCATATCATAATATCAAAAGTAAAATGCATTCAAAGACTTAAAAAGAGCGTACAATTAATTTATTAAATTAACTTTAATGCAAATATTTGTCTCGTTTATTAATTATTGTTTTTATAATCATATTATAAAGTAAATGCAAGTTAGCACAGTTGGCATCCATTTGATATTACCATTTACATTCTCTATATTAATAACACATTATGGCATAAATCTATAACAAAATTGAAATTGTATTTGTTTTACATTAAATGATCAATTTTTCAATTATAATTAATTAATTATTAGCATTAAATAATAGCGTAAACTTCAGTTTTTATTAATTAACAAAAATTTGTGTTACACTACAGATGCTATAGAATAGTGCAAACATTAATTAGAGCCAATATAAGACAAAATTTAATAATTAAATTATTTGTCATTAATTTATGCAAAAATTAAATATGGTTCAGTATAACAACTGTTTAATATTGTCTTATAAAATCAATTTTATATTCACTTTTACTTGACATTATTTTAATAAATATTAATGAATTAATATTCTATTTATATATTAAATATGTCACATTTTTTGTTGTCATTATTTGTTGATTAGTATTTTATATGAACAGGTTTTATTTAATTTGATGTATAAAATTAGTATAATTAGAGTATATAGATAATTGAATTAAGAAAATGGTTGCATTGCATTCAATTAAGAGATAATTAAAGTATTAAATAAAATTAGACAAAGAATTGAAGACATTTGCAAATGAAGTGCACAATATTTGGTGATTTGAGTAGAGTTTGTAAATTAAATTGCAAACATTTACTTCATATATAGATTGTTAAACATTTAAATGAAATAACAAATAATGTTTTCGTTAAAATTCAAAAGTTTATATCTTTAGAGAACTCGTTATAGTGTTTGCATTAGAGAGAAGGCATCAGAGATGATATGTTTGGCAAAAATCTATTTCACATCTTTAGCTAAAAGTCGCTTAAAGTTATTTCAATTAAAGGCCATTAAATATAAATGATTCATCAAATGCATTATATAAGGCATAGCATAAGCGCTACATTAAACAAAAGCATATATTCTATAACACATACATCGGATTAATATATGGCTGCATATGTTGTTCAATGAGGAGATGCTGGAGAGAGAGAGAGAGACTTATGAAAGTATAGCAAAGAATATAATCAATAGTTTTCTCAATGTCTGAATTCGTGGGTCCATTAGTCGGTGTTGTGGAGCACTCGACAAATTATGTCCGCTTTTCAGTGTTTGTGTCCCAAAGCGGACAAATGATTACATATTACCAGTTGGAGGTGAACAAGATATTGCCCCGGGAGGGCTGGATAGAGCAGGACCCTGTTCAAATCTACGAGACTGTGCTCCAGTGCATAGAAGTGGTCACATATAAGTTGTCGCAATTGGACATTGGTTTGGAGCAAATCAAATGCGTGGGCATTACTAATGAACGCGAGTCCACTGTGGTCTGGGATAAAGTAACAGGTATGTTTAGTAATTTGTTTGCATATATTCATTGTGCTTATTGGTACAGAATAACTTATTGTCAGGTGATTCAGTTTGTAATCTATAGTTTAGTTGCGAAATGTTTTAAAATTTTAAAATATTTGAGAAATCTTATAAAAAGGCATAAAATATTTTTTAATATATAAGTTTATCAAAAGTTAATAAATTTGACTTAATTAAAAAAACATATATCAATGAAAGTCATTGAATAATGAACGTTAATGAGCCATCATATGACATGCAGTATTGACTAAAGACAGGGAAGGGTAGATAAGTCGAAAAACTGTCATAAATATCGATAAAAACCTTTTTAGTAATAATTATTGTTGGCCTTCATTTCAAACCGATTGAAACCGATTTGGTATTTGTTTCACACATTTACCGAAATTTTCGTTTTAAAACAATATTTCATACAATATTAGAGTAGTCTATAAGATATCAGATTTATATAATGCATATAATAGTCTTCACTATCAATATACTGTATACCTGTATATAGTTTTTTATATAAAAAAACTATCGGTGCTCACAGATAATCATTGTGTCACAATAGCTGATAATACAGTCAAATACTGTATAATATATTTCGATATAATTTTCATGTCTTAAAAAAAGTTTTCCCTTAAATCTGTCACCAATAGGACAGCCATTCTATAACTGCATCGTATGGCTGGACAACCGGACCAACGATTTGGTGGAGAAGATCATCGACGACCTGCCCGGCCGTGACATCAATTGGCTCAAGAATAAGACAGGTCTGCCGATTAGCACCTACTTCTCGGCGCCCAAACTCCGGTGGCTCATCGACAACGAGCCCACCATAGCTCAGGCCATTAAAGAGGAACGCCTACTGTTCGGTACAATCGACACATGGCTTCTGTGGAAACTGACGGGTCATCACATGACGGATGTGACAAACGCCAGTCGGACACTCCTGATGGACATCGAGACGTGCGAATGGGACCCCTATTTGTTGGACTTTTTTCAGATACCGGCCTCCATTTTACCGCACATTAAGTCCTCTTCAGACTTTTTTGGCACTTTGAATGTCACAGATCTTAAGGGATTACCCGTTACAGGTTCGCTCCCTCACCACCCATACCTATATCCAGTTATTCATTAGTTTTGTCGTCGTTTAGGTGTTATATCGGATCAGAGCGCAGCACTGGTAGGTCAGAAGTGCTTCGGTGTGGGCGAGACTAAGGTCACGTGCGGCACCGGGTGTCATATAATCCAGAACATAGGTCCCGGGCCCATTCACGGAGCGCTGGAAGGGGTGCCCAATGAGGCCAAACATAATCTGTTGATTACAATAGCGTTCAAATTGGGCGCAAATCCCACGTATTATGCGCTGGAGGGCAGTGCCGCCATCGCCGGTGCGGCCATCACTTGGCTTCGGGATAATCTTGAAGTAATCAAACACTACGGAGATGTGGAAAGTATAGCACAAATGGAGGAGAACTGTGGGGGCGTCTACTTTGTGCCCGCCTTTCAAGGTATGCATCGTTTTTAAAT